ATCCTTTTAACACTTATTTAACATTATATTAAAGAATGAGCTAAACCAAAAAAAAATAAAAATGAAAGGTATAGTCAGGAAAGTGATGCTATTTTTTCTCATATAATATAAATGTTTACACAAAAAGTGTGCAGCAACCAAAACTATTTGAAAACAATTAAAAATAATGACCTATATTAGAAGGACCTCAGGAGATAAATTCAGATACAAAAATCAATTGTAGCTACATATTGGCAATAAACTTTGAATACCAAAAATGTTTAATGTCATTTACCATGTCAAAAACTTACACACTTAGAAATAAATTTAACAAATTATGAACAAAACTTATATACTGAAACTAAAAAACATTCTTGAGTAAAATTAAATGACACCTTAAAAAACAAAGAGAAATATCTTGTTCATGGATATATATTAGACTCAACATTGTTAAAATGTCAGCATTCCCAAAATTTTTAAGTTCAATGCAAACTCAATCATAGTAAAATATTAACAGACTCTTGTGAGAATTAACACCCTAATTCTAAAAAGCAAAAGCTACTGAATAAATCTTTTTAAAAACTGTGGGAGGACACAAACTTCATTCATTACATAATTTTAATGTTATAGCATAAAACTACAGAAATCAAGACAATGTGGTATTGAGCTAAAGATAGACCAAGAGATAAGAGAACTATAACAGACAGCACACCAAGGAGATCTACACTACAAACAGCAACTGTTATTTTTCTGCCAAAGTGCTAGCTAACATAATTCAATAAAGAGAAAATAGCCTTTTTGACAAAGGATGCTGAAACAACAGGACATCCATATGGATAAAGAGAAAACTACCAAAGAGGATGGAGCATCTCCTCCCTCCCTGTAGACACAATCCTCCAAGCCCTTCCTTGTGCACAACTATCTGGATGGAAGTTCTCCCTTTTGGGCTTTCAAGGAAATTGCATTAGGTAGGCATGACCGATTGATCACTGGCCAATGATGACCTACCTAATCCTCAGACCCTCTCCCTTCCACTGAGCTTGACAGATGAGATGGAAATTCCCAGCCCTCTAATCCTATCCGGTCTGTCTAGTGATTAACACCTTCCAGAATGTACATTTAGAGATTGCAAACCATCAGTTTTTAACATACAAATGCCCTGCTGGGTATGGACCTCAGGGGCCTTGTGACCACTAGGTTAGCACTCTACCACTGAGGTACATCACCAGCCCTAAAGATAGCTTTTAAGTAAAAAGGAAAATGATCCCAAAGCAAAGCATGTGAGTGTAGAAGAGCATGTGAATATGATGAGCAAGAGGAAATACATAGATAAATCGAAATGAACAGGTATAGTATGATCGTATCTCTGGGGACTTCAAACATAGGCTGAATTAAAAACATAATAATAACGAACTTAACAAAATATAGAAAATGCATAAATGGGAACTGGCAACAGACAAATTTACCAAGAATGCATGTAGCAATCTCTAGGGACCAAAATAAAAACAAAGTAAAACTAAGAAATCTGTAGGAGGTATGGGTGTTAAAATATTCTATTACTGCAAGAAAAAGAGATGAGAGAAAATAATACAGAACAGGGAAGATAAATGTCAACTGGCTAATTGGCTAGTAATTATATGCCAATTAAAAGATAATCTGGGATGGGGAGACAGTTCAGAGGTCTAAGTGCTTGTTTGGCAAGTGCAAAGGACCTGGGTTTGATGGCCGGTACCACATGTCACGCCAGCCCCAAACATAAATTAAAAAAATAAATAAAACTAAAAAAATAAAAGATAATCAGATTTTCAAAATGGACTGAAAATCAAAACCTAACTATATTGTACTTAATAGTAGACATACCATACGTTTATCAAAAGCTTAAACTAAAGCAATGAGAGAGATTTAGTGCAAATATTGATAAAAAGTGAGAATAGTTCTACTAATGTCAAATTAAGGAAAACTTATAACAAAGTATTATATACAGTGCATCCCATAATAAGAAAAGTTAATTACCAGGAAGATATAATACATAAACTCTACATTTTTTTATCAGCAAAACTGAAAGAAAAAGAAACCCTTTCTAAAAAAATGACAAGTCAAGAAAACATAAAGAAAAATAAGATTAATGAACATGGCTTAAATGATATTTATAACGCACAGCAAATTTCAAAGGACTACAATCACCCAGTGTATATCCTCTGACCACTTTGATATAAGTCTAGGAATAGACAGAACTAGGAAGTCCTCCAAATGTTTACAATCTCACCTACTATGGGATGAAGCAGAAAAATTCCAAGTTTGAGGGCAGCTCAGACAACCTAGCAAGAGCCTATTTCAAATTAAATTAAATTGCCGAAGATACTCTCACACCAGAGGATATGAGAAACTTCTAAACTCATAGACCCAAAACAATCCACACTGAAAATATAAAGCCAGATTAGAAATCACACAACATATGGAACAAAACAGTAATGAAAATATGTTGTATCAAAATATGTCAGCTATATCCAAAGCTCCTTAAAGGAAACATAAAACTTAATAAGAGTTTTAAATTTTTTTTTCAGAACTGAGGACTGAACCCAGGCCTTTCAATGGAGGTCCCCAGTCCCCCCCAATATCCCCCCCCCACCCCATCCGGTCCCATCCCGTCCACCTGCATTTTGATGCAAGATCTTGCAAATTTCCCAAACTGGGCTAGAACTGGCAATCCTGCTGCCTCAGCCTCCCAGATTACTGGGATTGCAGACCTGTTGCACTATGTCTGGCTTTTAATGGATTTCTTAAAAGAAAGGCTAGAAATCAATGCTTTAATTATTTATTTGAATAAATTTTAAAAGAATACCAAATTAAAACCCAAGAGAAAAGAAAATATTTGAAAGCAGAAATTAATGGAACAGAAAAATAATCTGTAATAGCAAAACCCAAAAGGCTGAAAGCAAATTCAGTGAAATAAAAATAGAGCCAGTGAGACAGCTCAGCAGACTAAGCACCTGCTTAGGCAAGAAACGAGACCAGGGTTTGACCCTGGCATCACATGCCGCGCGGGACCCAGGGGTCATGGGCCCTGCCCCTGGGAAGCACTGAGCTGGCCACTGAGACTGGGCGTGGTGGTGCACACCTGTAATCCCAGCACTGGGAAGGCTGAAAACAGGAGAATCATAAGTTTGAAATATGTAGTAAGATCCTGTACCAAATACGTTAAAATAAAACTGAAAAATCTCTAGCAAGACACATCAAAAATTGCGACATTAGTAAATGGTCACTTGAATCAATAAATGATAAATATAGCAGTAAGTCTTAAAAATCAGATGATATGGACAAACCTAAAAAACTAATACAGATATAGAATATCAAACTAACCTTATTTCCCTTAAAAAATATATTACTTAACTTTCTCACTAGAACCCTCTAGCTCAAGAAAACTTCACCAATGAAATCTTACCAGCATGTATGGAATCATTAACCATCTTCACAAATTTCTAAAATAGTAAAAAAAGAAACTCCCCTCTTCTTATGAGACCAGTATAACTAAGATACCAAAACCTGATCCTACTTTTGTAGGAACATTAAAGGCCAATTTCTCTCAAGAAATAGATATGAAGATCCTTAAAAAAAAAAAAAAAGATAGGGCCAGCAAGATAGCTCAGCGGTCTAAAGCACCTGCTTAGGCAAGCTTAGGCAGATGCAGGGGACCTTTGGGTCCCTGTCAGGGTTGGCTGAGCCAGCCAAAAAAAGAAAATAAACAGCATACCAAACCCAGTGATACATAAAAGGGACAATACATCATAATCACATGAGGTTATTTTAGGAATGCAAAGTTAAACATTTGAAAACAAACCACTATAATTCAACACATTGGCCAACTGTCTTAAAAGATGCAGATAAAGCATTTATGAAAATACAATACGTTTCATGACTTTAAAACTAACCTGACCAATAGGTATGAAGTCAATAAATAAAATTCAATTAGTTGCAATTATGCTTTCAATAATTAGAAAATAAAATTTAATAAACCATTCTAATTATACTAATATCAAGAATATCACCTATCTAGAAACAAATCTTCTGAAAGATATGAAAATCCTCATATTGAGTGAAAACTATAAAACTCTAAAAGAAACATTAAAAGTGGAAGAATACACCATGTTCATGGATTAGCTGATTTAAGATTTCAATGATCTGCAGATTGAATTTTTTTTTTTTTTTTTTTTTTGTATTTTAGGGAAGGGTCTGCCGGGTGTTCAGGGTCTCACTACTAGATTGGACTCATAGTGATCCACCTGTGTATAGCCTCTCAAGAGCTGGGACTACAGGTGGGCACCACCATGCTCAGTCTCAGCAAGCCCCAGGAGTGAGACTGGCACGGCAGGCCCAGGGATTGAACCCCACGCCCCTGAGGCTGCTTGCAGGCGCTTTAATCCGCTGAGCTATTTGGCCGACCCTGCAACTGATGTTTAATTTCAATACAATTTTAATCCACATTTCAACAGAGAGTGTGAGAGTGTGTGTGTGTGTGTGCATGTGTGTGTTTAGAAACTGAAAACTAGGGCCAGGGAGATGGCTCAGTAGAATAAGAGCTTGACTGGCAAGTGCTAGGGCCTGAGTTCAATCCCCAGTCTTGAAAAAAAAAACCTGAAAACTGATTCTCAAATGTGGTGGAAAAGGCCAGGCACGGAGAAGAGTCAGTTTATATACTATAAGACATCAAAATTCCTTATCAACTACAGTAATTTAAGATAATATGGCATATAGACCAAAGGAACAAAAGAAAGTCCTGAAAATTATTCATATTTATATTGGCATATCAGGTACACATGAAAACATGAAACATCTTAGAAAATAATTTCATACAGAGCATACTTCATTCAAAACTTTAGGATAAAAAAACACTTTAGGATAATTTCCAATCAATCATATCAATCAAAACCACAAGTGAATATTCTGGTTAAATTCTCTCACAATTATGTTATGTTAAACACCGTGCAAAATAGCAACCATTCTATAAAGTCTTAATCTCTTACCTCCCCAAATGCACCTCGACCAATCACCTTTAATATTTCAAAGTCTTCTCTATGTAGTCGCATTTGTTTCACTTTAGAAGTGAATGGTTTAGCTGAAACAAAAGAGCAACATCAATTACTTTCTTAAGGAAATGTGATACTGATTAAATTACAGCCAATAAGGAACATTATTCTAAATGCTAATTGGATTTATTAAGAACTAAGCCAAAGTACTTTAGAATCTCATCAAACTGTACAAGAATAAACTGACTTAATTTCTCTAAAATAATATATTTCTTATAAATGGATTACATTTTTGGAGAGAAATATATTTTCAAACAGCAAGTAAAATAGGAAATAATACAAAGAAGCATGTACTGTATGTAGAAATGATCAGGTTTACTCTCATAATAAACATTCTATGTATTTTAACTATCAATCTAGACCACAAATGTCAAAAAGTTTAAAAGCAGGTTTCATGGCACCAGAGACTTTCAGCAGTTTCTGCCAGGTAAATTAATATTTCTTTCATGCTCATTCATTAAATTTATTTATTTTTTAACAGGTTTACGCAAGAGTCTGTACTATACAAAGCATGATAATGAGTTAAAAAAATGTTTACAACATGGTACCTTCCTTCTAGAAGTTCTGTCTTAAAGACAGACCTGTTTATCTGAGCACCCACACATAACAATATGGTAAGATTTCTAACAAAGGTAATATAAAGTGTTTCTGGACCAAAGAGAAACTAACTCCTGGGAATGATTAACAGATGAATACTACCTTGAGGACAAAATACAATTTTGCTCTGCTGTCTGGGTTTGACACTATAGACATTCTAGGCACAGGTAGTAACATAAGCAAATGGAAAGAAGCAAAGAAGTGAAGTTGGTGTGAAATTTTTATGAAGGATATTATTATGACATTGGCTAAAGTTCAATATTAAAATGATAACTGTACTGTGAAGACACCTAACACTTTTTATTCTTAGGAAGTACTCACTAAAATATGTACAGCTACAATATCATGACACTCCATTGTCACAAAATTTCAAGAAAAAAATTAGAGATGGAAAAGGCTTTAAATGTTATGCAAGAAACATTTAAAAACTGATATTGTAACGAATAAATCAACACTGCCTGTAAGAAAAGTTTGAAACTGTCTCCTTTCCTCTCTGTATGCTCATGTCCTTCTATATTAGGAACAAAAAGGAGCTGATATAATTCAAAGGTTATTACATGTGAGCAAAGATTCTTTTTCTTCCTTCCATGAAGCTAAAGTGGGGCATACACCTGAGCATTAAGGGCTGTGAAATATACTAGACGCCTTAAATTTGTTTTGGTCTGAAGATATTTAGAAACTAACTTAGAAAATTAACTAACTTAGAAAACAAGTATTCCACATTCTTTAGTCCAGTCTACTAGAGATTTCTGGATTTGTGTTTTAGACTGCAAGGAAAGAAATTGAATCTCTATCTAAAATTCATACACTTAAAAAAAAAAAAAGGAAGATCGAAGACATCAAGTTTCAGTAAGAGTAAGAAAGATCTCAGATCTCACATCATAAGGAAAAAAAAAAAAAAAAAAGACATATGAAGTAGACAGAAACTGAGCATTCTGAATAAAATGACCAAAGCATTACAAGAGTAAACCAGCTGAACTCAAAATATCTTAAGAATGTGGCTAGTGGTTTAATAAAAGGCTGTTTTAGTTTTGTGTCCCTCCATTCCTCAGATTCTATACCAGCATATCAAAAAAACTACTTCCTGACCCTAAATTATAGTTACTTATAATCCAGTTCAATTCTTAAAACTTAACTGTAGATACACCTTCCTCTCAGTAACATCTTACCTAATCTGTAAGATCAGAAATATAGATATTTCAATCCTCTGAAACACCACTGCAAAACAGCAAAAAACTCTACTGCATATCATCTTTTTACATGGCTGCATATGCCCCAAAAGCATATGCAAATGAGTACTATAAAATAATTTGTAATGTGGATTAAGCAGTTGGCCAGCTATACAACTTCATGGGAGCACGTATTAGAAACAAAAAATATAACCCTGTCTGATTTTCCCCTAGAAACCATTACAATAAAATTTCTTTAAAAACTCTATTTCTTTGACAAGAAAAAACTATTTTATTTTCAGACATTCAAAACTAGTTGTTTACATTATGAATTTCTTCAGAGGCTTCACAATTTATGAATCATTTACTCAATCAGCTGAAGTATCTTTTAATACCCCCTGAATGCCAAGCATTTTATAAGATGCTGGATGTAAGAAGATGAATAAAATATGCTTGTCTTCAAATAAACAAATGACACTCAATACTCTTTAAAACTTATACTGTAGTTGAAAGTAAATTGCTAATAAACAGACAACACTGCTCACATTATAACGAATCAGAGACATGCACATTAACATAACAGGACTATTTCATTACTTACCAATCAAATGTGTCAACAATTTAAAAATCTAAAAGCATCAAACATTGAAAAGAACGTGAATAACAGGTGTTGCAATGTATAGCTGATAGAACTATTAACTATAATCTCTATAGATATTTGGTTTTTCATTCTCTTAACATGGAATATTACTTAAGTAGACATTAGGGGTTTTTTTATATTTTTAGACAAACTATTTGGTGGTAATGGGTGTTTTATTGTTCTTGCTGAATGCACAGCTGAAACTGCTTCGCTTTGGTTTTTGCTGTTTGGATGCTTCCCTCTTGATGGTTCCTCTCCCTCCCCCTTCTCCTCTTTTCTCTTCTTCTTTTGAACCCAGGACCTTATAAATTTTGGTAAGTGCTCTACCACTGAATTATAATTCCAGTCCCTTTAAATTTAATTTTCAAGTTCTCATCTCTAAAACTTGTGATTTTCCTGCCTCAGCATCCCATACACTAGCACAAGCCTATCATTCTAGCTACTAGGAAGGATGAAGCAGGAAGATCACTTGTGCCCAGAAATATAAGATCAGCCTGAGAAATACACACACACACACACACACACACACACCCCATAAAACACATACTGATGGCTCTGACACTATAGCACACAAGGGTCTCCAGCAGTAATGAGAACATATGGCACCTAGAATTTGGATTTTTTTTTTTTTTTTTTTTTTTGGTACAGGGTCTCACTACACAGCTTGGACTCATAGTAATCCTCCTGTCTCAGCCTCCCCAGCACTGGGATTATAGGCATGTGCCACCATGCCCAGTTTCAGTTGCAAACACAGCATACCTGGGACAGCATGTGATACCAGGATCAAACCCAGGTCCTTATGCTTGCCAGGCAGGCACTTAAACCACTGAGCTATCTCCCCAGCCTAAATATTGGTCTCTCATCATCATTCTTCACTAAAAAAACACCAAAATTCCTCAGAGAAATGGATAATATGACAAGTACAGCACACTAATGAACAAAGTAACATTATGTGCTTCCAGATGTGATATGCTGAGAACAAAGCATCATTATTATTATTGACAGCTAAGTTAGGTAAAAATATTACAGGCAATTAAGAGAGGGCTGGGCCCTTGGAAAGTCAGTGCAGAGGATGAGAACACTTTACAACTACGGCCAGAAGCACAGCTGTTAGAGGTCAAGCCTCAAGATAAAGACGGAAAGATAAGCCCTACAGAACTTCACAGGAATAAGAAAAATGGTATCATCTGGTCTAATAAAGTCTAAATAGATACTAGTCACCTTGGTGAGTAACCAAGACCCCTGGATCCATCCTTTCCTAAAGAAGGTCTTTATTCTTTCCATTGTTACTTCTACATTGTGGAGGACCACTTGAGCAGCTGTTCTTGAAAGAAGACAGACTGTCTCCATTTTGGCTGAGCACCAGATCACCAAACATTAGATACTATCTCAATAGCATAATACAAATTATTTTCTCTGCATATGGCAGAGGTAAATGCAGGCCACCTACCTAGCTCAGCTCACAGTACTCACCTACTTCCCACAATTCCCAGTCATTCCTCCTCAAGCCACTCCTCCACTGAATAAAACTCAGGTGCCTCCCTGGATCAGCGTCTTCGTTCCAGAAAGCCATCTTCATGGCTGGACTTAGGGCCCCTTGGCTCCCCAATAATTATAAATATGTTTAGTGTCTTTTCTTTCACCATGGGTTGCACTGGGAGTGGTAGATAGGAAATAACTTGGTGGGATTCCAATAACATATCTTTGGGCTTATAAATATTAATTTCTTGGACCGAGAGGAGAACCTGGAGGGGTCTCCTACACTACATGACCTAATTCCCCATTAAATCACTATTACCTAAGCAGCTGTACTTATAGTCATACTGATCACAGTTTTGACTCACACTGTATCTAAATTATGATTTTGCTCTATAAAAATTCCTTTAAGAAGTGGGCTTGTTGGGAAGCCTCTTTTGGATAGCTCTTAGGAGCTATCTCAATAAAGTTTTCCTCTTAACCTGTTTTTCCTTATAATTCATTCCTTGATTTTGGTAAACACAAATTTGGCATATCTGATATCTGGCAGGACGTGAGTTATGTTTATTTCTCCTACATAATTTGGAGGTCCCACTGAGATAATTAGGAGGTATGCATTTGCAGTTGTTTCATGGATTCTAGATTGTGACTTATTTGGGTAATCAGAAATTGTTAACCTTGTTATCTATAGTTTATGTCTTGAATTCTTATGTTTTGTCTCTATTTAATGCACTTTTTGTTAAAATGAGGATAAATTTAAATTGAGAAAAAAGGAAGATTACGATGTCTCTGTGATGGGACATTTCACTTTTTCAAATAAGATCTTATATTCCTGTTTTATATATGCTCTATTTGGACTTACTAGTTGCTAAATTTATTGATGCTCCTTGCTTAACCTGTTTGACTTGTTCTAACTGCTGTGATTTGTTATCTTACACAACAGTGTAGGATTTGTTATTTTAGACAACAGTGCTAGGGAAAAGTAACGTTAAAGCATTCCCCGGTGGACTCTTGATACTAACCAAAAATTATAAACTTCTGTAAAATGTGTCTTTTTATAAAACCTACTTTGTATTTCGGAAATATATATGTTTGTGGTAGACTGACAACTGGTGGCCAACTTGTAAAAGCTAGCTGAACTGAAGCA